ACACACTCCCATGAGCCTGGCACAAGCAGCCCCCGCGCACCCGAGCCCAGAAGACACGTGCACACACACAGGCACACTGCACCCCCACTCTCTCCACACACACACACACACACACACACACACACACCTCGATGTATCGGGCGCCCATGTGGTGCTTGTGACGCTCCAAGGCCAGGTCTCTCTGCTCTGAGTCCACGAATCGCACCAGTGCTTCCCCATTCCTCCGGCCCTGGGCGTTCAGGCACAGTGCCACACCACCCCTGGGAGGGGGGTCAGAGATGGCATGGTCATGCCAGCCTCCCAGCAGCACCCTCTCCCCCTGCAGGTGGGCAACGTCGTATCCTCCCTCCACGTCCCCCATCGCCCCCTCACTTGGAAATGTTGAGCCCCTTGAAGAATCGCGCTATGTCCTGGTCAGAGGACTGCCACGGAAGGCCTCTCGCGCGGACGACTGTCTCATTGTCCACCACCTCAGCCTTGCTGCTGCAGGGGGACAAAAGTGAAGCACCATCAGGGGGCCCCTCCTCAGGACCACCCGGGCCCCTCTCCCTTCCTGGCCCCAGACATCTTACCAGGGTCCAGAGTCATACTTGCACTTGACGATTTCAGGCTCCGTAAAGCTGTGATCTGAGAGAGAGAAGCAGATGAGGGACGGGGGCTTGAGAGGACAGCCCCATGGCACAAAGAGGGGCCGAGACAGTGCCAGGGGGCAGAACCAGAGTGGGGAACTCACTCTGTTCTGAGAGGAGATGGCAGATGATGGTCACCATGGTCTTCACTTCCCACACACCAAAGTCATCCTCAGCAGCATCTGTTTCCAGCCCCAAGTCTGGGAAGTTGGAAGGGATGTGTGAAGGAAAATTCTTTCTCTATGTGGAAGTGAACAACCATAGGGACAGGCACAAAAACGCTGTGCCCACTGACACAGGGAGCCCCAGACCCTCTCCTGAGAACCCAGGTGTCTCCAAGTTCTGTGGAGACACACAGATACACACACACAGAGCAAGGACAGACACGGGGACGGACGGACGGACACGCACACACACGTGCACACACACACACATACACTGTGCCTACCAACAAAGGGGTCCCCAGACCCTTTCCTGAGAATCTACGAGTCTCCAAGTCCTAGAGATGTGGACACAGACACGCAGATACGCAGGCGTGCACGCACACACACACCCCCTTCCAACCAAAGTTGATTTCTGCCTTAGCTCTCCCCAAAAGAGATCAAGGGAGGGTAAGGATACTCTGGGCCATGGCAGAAACGGTGAGGTCTCGGGCTGGGCCAGCCTCAGGATGCCGCTCGTGGAACTCCCTGCGCAGATCGTAGAAGGAGAAGAAGGAGTCGGGCAGCACCAGGTTCTGAGGGCGAGGGGGTGGGGGCAGTGAGCTGAGAGTCAGGAAGCAGAGCCCAAAAGCCTGTCCCGAAGGCGCGTAGCACCCAGAGTCTCCCCGTCCCGCCTCACACCTTTCTGGAAGCCTCCGGGTGGAGGACCTGTCGAACCAGAAGCGGCCCATCTGTGCACAGCGTGTAGGAGCCTCCGCCCAGGAGCTCCACATCCCCCAGTACCAACTGTGAGAACTAGAGAAGGAAGGTGACGTTGTGGTCAGCAGCACAGCCTAGGCACGCTGGCCATTCCCCAGCTCTCTCCCAACTTCCTCCTCCCCTGGCCTGCCTAGGCAGGGACCCAGCAGCCTGAAGCACTAGGGAAGAGATCTGGGGGTGAGGGGGGCCCCCCAGGTCCAAGCTGGAGTAACTGGTTGGGCTGCAGGATGAGGAAAGCAGGCCTCCCCTCCTCAGGGACGGGAGCTGGGACGGAATAGGAGGCTCGGGCTTGCTTCAGTCCTGTCCTGCTTGGCAAACGGCCCAGTGGCTTATGGTGCTTCCTAACCCCCCAACGCCCCCCCCCCCCCGGCAACCCGGTCCAGGCCCGAGGCCAGGAGAAGCAGGCACACAGCGTGTCAGCCTTCTGAAGGCAACGACTGAACAAAAAAAAAACCTATTGCCCTTGAATGGGTCTTCTCCTGGTACCCTCTGCCCCCCAAAACCGCCAAAGTAAGCCCCTAGAACTCCCTCTTCCTCTAGGAAGGCAAGGACCCTTTAAGAAATCAGGTATATGTGTGTATGGGGGGGGGGATATGATATCTTTGAAATTACCAGGGCTTTAGCCTCAGACACCCAGCTTCCCTTCCACCCCCAAGTATGTCTCTGACACTAAAC